AAGGGGAAGCTGGGCAATCGGGTGCTTTGGGATCTGCACGAGAGCAAGGACGTGTACAGATCTATGTGGCAGCTGCCGGCCCTGGCGTGGCATGGTGGGGGGCAGGCTGGAGAGGGGTCTGCATCCCAGGGGGAGTGCAATGCCGTTGGAGGGGTTGGTGTGAAAGTGTCGGCCAGATCTGGGGAGACAGATTGGGCAACGGCACACCGGCGCTTAGGGCATGTGGCAATGCCTTTGCTGAAGCAGCTGGAGAAGGATGGAGCCGTTAAGGGTCTGAAGCTGAACGGACAGCCACCCGATGACAACTGTGAAATCTGTTTGCTTTCAAAGTTCACCCGTTTCCCTTTCCATAGTGTGGCTGGCAGGAGCAAGAAGCCTTTGGAGCTGGTCCACATGGACTTGGTGGGGCCGCTGCCGGTGCAAGGGCACAAGGGGGAGCGGTATTTTCTTACAATTGTGGATGACTGGAGCAGGCTGATGTGGGCGTATCCGCTGAAGCAGAAGGACCACGCCGCCTCCACGATACGGGACGATTGGCTGCCATTCGTGGAGAAGCAGGCGGAGTGTGTAGTGAAGCGGATTAGGACAGACCGGGGTGGTGAGTTCCTTGGAGCTGAAATGACGGCCTGGCTCAAGAAGCAGGGCATCCAGAGAGAGCTGACCACGGCTTATACCCCACAGTCCAATGGTGTAGCAGAACGGGCAAACCGGACCATTCTGGAGACAGCTAGGGCGCTGCTCATAGAATCTGGGCTGAGCAATTCTATGTGGCCTCATGCTGTCCGGCACGCCACTGTCGCTAGGAACAGGGTGCTCACCAAGGTTGGGGATGACTCGTGGGTGCCGTTGGAGAGGTGGCTTGGGAGGAAGCCGCCGGTGGACATGCTGAGGGTGTTCGGTTGCATGGCAGTCGCCCACGTCCCCAAGATCTACCGCAGTAAGTTGGGGGCGAGTGCAATCTGGTGTGTGCATTTGGGGCTGGCTGCTGAGAGCAAGGGATGGCTGCTGTGGGAACCATCCAAGGGTGTGTTGTTTGACAGCAGGGATGTGAAATTCATTGAGGGCATGATGTATGGGAGCTGGGAGAAACAGCCGGAGGCAAGGGTGTCCCAGCAGATGGAGCAGATCACCATGCAGCTGGACCTGACTCCTAGTGTGTGGGAGGAGGGAGAGGAGGCAGCTGGTGGAAATGGTGATGGAGAGAAGGTACAGGAGGCATCTGCTGGTGGAGAAAATGGTGTGGAAACTGGCGGCAGCACTAGTGGAGCTGCTGGACCCGAGGGAGGAGAGAAGCAGCAGGGAAAAACTAAGAAGCCGAAGGGTGTCGTTATGAAGGGATGGGAGACACCCGTCTCCAGGCCAGGACGTACCCGTATGGCTACTAAGAAGCTGACTGCAGGAACTGATGCAGCAGAGCAGCAGCTAGGGACCGAAGAGGCATTGCTGATTCTACCTCATGGCTATGACCCGGATGAGGAGGATGAGCCTGCGTACTGTTTTCTTGCCCCTGCACCAGAGGAACCAGCTAGCATGGAGGAGGCATTAGCTGGACCAGATAGGGACAAGTGGCTGGCTTCTAGGGATGCTGAGTACCAGAAGTTGGCAGCTGTTTTAGAGGAGATGGGATTTAGGACCAGCAGCTGTGATGAGAGCCTCTTTCTCAAGGGCGAGGGGGAGAAGCTGGTGCTGTTTCTGGTCTATGTGGACGACATTCTTCTCTTCAGCAGCAGCATGAAGGAGATCCAGAAAGTGCAGCAGCAACTGATGGAAAACTTCAAGTGCAAGAACCTTGGGGAGGTAAAGTACTACCTCGGGATGCACGTGGAGAGGGATCCAGATCACAGGTGGTTGAAGCTGCACCAGGAGAAGTTCATCAAGGAGCTGGGGGAGAAGTATGGGATTGAGAATGAGCGCAAGGTTGCAACTCCCCTGCCAGCAGAATTCAAGCTTGTGAAGGCTGCAGAGGATGAAGGGGTTGAAGCTGAAGAGCAGCAGCAATTTCAGTCCTTGGTGGGCAGCCTCTTGTACGCAGCAGTTCACACGAGGCCCGACATCTCTTTCTCGGTTGGGCAGCTGGCTAGGGTGGTGCAGAATCCATCAGAGGAGCAGGTGGATGCAGCTGAGCGTGTGGTGAAGTACCTGAACTCTCACCCAAGCATTGGAGTTCAATACTCCGCATCTGCACAGGTGAAGCAGAAAGGGGTGGAGGTGCTGAAAGAGAAGGGGGAGAGGCTTGGAGAAGGCAAGCTATTTCTCACTTGCTTTACCGATGCTACGTGGGCTTCTGAGAAGGAGGATTCCTCATCTGTGGGAGGATACATCTGCGTAGTTGGGGGAGGACCTGTTAGTTGGAGGTCCAAGAAGCAGACGGAGACGGCACTCTCTTCCGTAGAATCAGAGTACATGGCGATGTTCCATGGGGTGAAGGAGGTGATTTGGCTGAGGAGGCTGTTAGAGGAGATTGGCCAGGAGCAGAAAGTTGCTACGCCGCTGTTTTGTGATAGCAAGGGGGCTCTTGGGATGGCCAGAAACGCTGTGCTTCATGGGCTGAACAAGCACATGCGTATCAAGTGGCACTGGCTGCGTAAGGAGGTGAAGAGGGGGACGGTGCATCCGATCTACATCAAGACTCACCAGCAGCCAGCAGACTTTCTCACCAAGAGGCTTGCGGATGAGCCTCATTGGCGTTGTGTGCGCATGAGTGGAATGAGCATGAACTAGCATGGAATGACGGGGATGCAGCCGGCAGGCTGAGGGGGAGTGTGTTGGGTGCAAATGCACATTGCACGACATCCTGCCGTCTGTTTGTACGAGTATGCGTGTGCGAATGCATTTGTGTGTGAATGGTGTGTTCGTGTGTTTGTTTGCTTTCGCATTTTTCGCTTGATGCATTTGCAGGTACTCGCGCAATGTGCGCTTCGGCACAACATTGTATGCGCTATGAACAGTGCAAGCAGAAAGGACGAGCTCGCAAAGGAACCCAAGATGGAAGCTTTGCAGTTCGGTTGAGTTGATTGCGCAGATTCAGTTCTATCCAACTCGGAATTGTACTGTTTTGTTTGGTTAACTATAGTGTAGCAGGGAAGGCACTATAGGGGTACAATTTAGGTGAAGGTTGGATGTTGTTTGTCTGTATCTGCATGCTACAAGGCCAGGGGAAACCAGCGGAACCAGCATTTGGCTGGTTGGGCAAAGACAAAACAGGTTCTGTTTTTAGAACCTGAACCTGGTTGTTGTTTTCCCAGGTTGGAAAAACAGAACCAGAGGTTGTTTACCAACCTACCACCTGCTATTTTGTCCAGCCAGGTTGGTTCTGTTGCTTGGAATTATTTGGGATCATCCCTGATTGTTCCCAGGTTGATTCCCAAGGTCCTTGCTAGCTAGAACTATTTAATCCTTCTCTGTTTGTACCTGAATATAGTCAAATTGATTCAAGCGAATTCCTTCCTCGCTGGAATTTCGTTTCTGCGCTATTCGACGGCGGAATGCTACCCGAGTCAACGCTAGTATGCTAGCACTCCAACGCTAGGCAAACGCTGTCCGAGCCATAACTTCGTAATGGCAGAACTTTTCGCGAGGCAACTTGATATAGCGAATTCTCAGCTTAATCCGACCGACGGTCTGCATGGCACGCTGCGCGACGTTCAAGGTACTCTTGCTGTTTTGACTAAGTCCTTCTTGATCCCTCTCTTTACAAACTCGGACCCGAGGATAGGGGCTGGTCTTGTACCAGGCACCCAGGGACCCTTGGAGGTGACCCCGAGGAGAGGTTTTAAGTTTGATTAAGTCCTAATAGCTTGAGTTTATTAGGCCATTACACCAACAGAAAGTACCTGACGTGAATGTGCTTCACTCTGCTCTCCAGTCGCGGCTCTCGACAAAGGAGAATCGACGCCTTGTTGTCAATGAACTAGGTCGGTGCAGAGCTCGGCCGCTCACCAAGGTCGGCGAGCAAGAACGTCAACCAACGCAGCTCCTGTGCCGCCATGGCACCAGCGTAGATCTCAGCCTCAGCTGTAGAGGTCGAGACCGAAGAGGAGCGCGTGGACCGCCAGGAAACAGCTCCAGAACCCAGGCTGAAACAGTACCTGTGAGTAGACCTGTGAGTCTGAGCGTTGTCAGGGTAAGAAGAGTCACAGTGACCAGTAAGTACGACAGACTGCTGCCCTCCAAGAACTAGCCCCACGCCTGATGTCGTTGTTGGGTGCAAATGCACATTGCACGACATCCTGCCGTCTGTTTGTACGAGTATGCGTGTGCGAATGCATTTGCGTGTGAATGGTGTGTTCGTGTGTTTGTTTGCTTTCGCAATTTTCGCTTGAAGCATTTGCAGGTACTCGCGCAATGTGCGCTTCGGCACAACATTGTACGCGCTATGAACAGTGCAAGCAGAAAGGACGAGCCCGCAAAGGAACCCAAGATGGAAGCTTTGCGGTTCGGTTGAATTGATTGCGCAGATTCAGTTATATCCAACTCGAAATTGTACTGTTTTGCTTGGTTGACTATAGTGTAGCAGGGCAGACACTATAGGGGTACAATTTAGGTGAAGGTTGGATGTTGTTTATCTGTTTGTACCTGAATATAGTCAATTGATTCAAGCGAATTCCTTCATCGCTGGAGTTTCGTTTCTGCGCTATTCGACGGCGGAATGCTACCCGAGTCAACGCTAGTACACTAGCACTCCAACGCTAGGCAAACGCTGTCCGAGCCAGAACTTAGTAATGGCAGAATTTTTCGCGAGGCAACTTGGCTTATTTTAAAGCTCTTGGAGCGAGCTTCGTTATAGCGACTTCTCAGCTTAATCCGATCGATGAGCTGCACGGCACGCTGCGCGACGTTCAAGGTACTCTTGTTATTTTGGCTAAGTCACTCTGAATTCCTCTCTCTACAAACTCGGACCCGAGGATAGGGGCTGGTCTTGTACCAGGCACCCAGGGATCCTTGGAGGTGACCCCGAGGAGAGGTTTTAAGTTTGATTAAGTCTTAATAGCCTGAGCTTATTAGGCCCTTACACCAATAGTCGTCGCTAGGTACTTCGCCACCCTCACAGCTGCTGTCCAGTGAACAGGACGGTGTCTCCCTGGCGCAACAAAGCGCGCAAGGACGCTGAGAGGGAAGGCGAGGTCCGGGCGAGTACAAGTCATCAGGTACATGAGGCAACCCACCAGCTCTGCGTAGGGACCACTAGGCTCAAACGGCTCGTCAGGAAAGGGTCCAGTGAGTCTGTGGTCAACAGCAAGAGGTGTGCGCTGTACTGTGGAGTGCTGAAGCCCGAACCGCTGAAGGACATGGTACACCATGTGTGACTGTGAAAGTGTAATGGTGCGAGCAGCTCTGTCCCTGGTGATCTGCAGGCCAAGGTAGTGGCGCAGCTCACCAAGGTCAGTGCAGGTGTGTCTCTTCTGCAGTTCGGACTTCACGTCTGCCAAAGCAACCCTGTCAGCAGTGGCGAAAACGAGGTCGTCAACGTAGACCAGAACAAAGAACGGTGTGGAGCCGCGACGAACGAACAGCGACGGGTCGGCAGAAGACGGCTGGAACCCAAGGTCAGAGAGGGTAGAACGCAGAGTGTCGTGCCACTCACGAGGGGCCTGGCGAAGACCGTAGACAGGTCGCCTCAGCCTCCACTGGGTCCCGGGAGGAAAGGTGCCAGTGAAGGCAGAGGGACAACGCAGCCAGACCTCCTCGTGAAGACTGCCCTGAAGGAAAGCAGTGGAGAAGTCGAGAGAGTGTAACTCGTAGTCTCTCTGTGCTGCTACGTGTAGTAATACCCGAAGAGTGGTCATAATCGGGGTAGGTGCGAAGGTCTGAAAGAAGTCAACTCCCTCGCGCTGGCTAAAACCTCTAGCCACGTAACGCGCCTTGAAGACCGGGGGAGATCCCGGTGGCCGCTTCACCCTGTAGATCCACATGCCGTCGACTACGTTCGCCCCAGGAGGGGGAACCTCATCGACGTAGGTGCCTGTGGATCTGTATGTGGCCATCTCTGCGTCCATGGCAGCTCTCCATTGAGAGGCCCAAGGCCCTGACACTGCCTCAGCGTAAGTGCGAGGAGTCGGAATGTCAAGGGCGTCTGGGTCACCCTCACGGGCGAGGAGCATGACTTAGAGATGAGGGGAAGAGGCTGCAAGGAACTCTAGCTCAAACTGTCTGTCCTCTAGGGCGTCACAGCCAAGGGCAGACACACCCCCGACGGCCAGAGGACTGGAAGGAGGAGCAGCCACAAGACCGGTGGCGAAGTCAAGGCGGCGGGTAGAGGCAAAGTCAGTGACTGCGGCAGTAAGAGCGGACACAGAGGACACAGAGGCACGAGGGTGAGTAACAAGCGAGGCGAGAACACGAGAGAGAACAGGACGGTACGTGCGGTAGTAGTCAGTGACAGAAGTAAAGAGCGACGCAGTGAGAGCCGACTCAGGAGGAGACGGACGAGGTGGACTAGAACGAAGTAAGGCAGTACGAAGGTCAGTGAAGGGAACAGGAGACGAGGGACGAGCACGAGGGGAGCGACGAGAGGCCCAAGTCTGAGAAGGAGGAGGGGACAACGAAGACTGAGAACGAGGGAAAACAGCGGGAGAGGGGTCAGGAGGAGGAAGCGGAGGACCAGAGACGGGAGGAGAGGGGGAGGAGGAAGGAGAGCGAGAGGGGAGACCAAGGGTCCGAAGACCCGAGACAGGAGGAGGAGGCGGCTGCTGCTGCTGCTGCTGCTGCTGCTGCCGCTCCTGCTCCTCCAGCCGCTGCAACTCTTGTTGGTGTAAGGGCCTAATAAACTCAAGCTATTAGGACTTAATCAAACTTAAAACCTCTCCTCGGGGTCACCTCCAAGGGTCCCTGGGTGCCTGGTACAAGACCAGCCCCTATCCTCGGGTCCGAGTTTGTAGAGAGAGGGATCAAGAAGGACTTAGTCAAAACAGCAAGAGTACCTTGAACGTCGCGCAGCGTGCCGTGCAGACCGTCGGTCGGATTAAGCTGAGAATTCGCTATATCGAAGCTCGCTCCAAGAGCTTTAAAATGAGCCAAGTTGCCTCGCGAAAAGTTCTGCCATTACTAAGTTCTGGCTCGGACAGCGTTTGCCTAGCGTTGGAGTGCTAGCATACTAGCGTTGACTCGGGTAGCATTCCGCCGTCGAATAGCGCAGAAACGAAATTCCAGCGAGGAAGGAATTCGCTTGAATCAATTTTGACTATATTCAGGTACAAACAGAGAAGGATTAAATAGTTCTAGCTAGCAAGGACCTTGGGAATCAACCTGGGAACAACCAGGGATGATCCCAAATAATTCCAAGCAACAGAACCAACCTGGCTGGACAAAATAGCAGGTGGTAGGTTGGTAAACAACCTCTGGTTCTGTTTTTTCAACCTGGGAAAACAACAACCAGGTTCAGGTTCTAAAAACAGAACCTGTTTTGTCTTTGCCCAACCAGCCAAATGCTGGTTCCGCTGGTTTCCCCTGGCCTTGTAGCATGCAGATACAGACAAACAACATCCAACCTTCACCTAAATTGTACCCCTATAGTGCCTTCCCTGCTACACTATAGTTAACCAAACAAAACAGTACAATTCCGAGTTGGATAGAACTGAATCTGCGCAATCAACTCAACCGAACTGCAAAGCTTCCATCTTGGGTTCCTTTGCGAGCTCGTCCTTTCTGCTTGCACTGTTCATAGCGCATACAATGTTGTGCCGAAGCGCACATTGCGCGAGTACCTGCAAATGCATCAAGCGGAAATTGCGAAAGCAAACAAACACACGAACATTCCATTCACACCCAAATGCATTCGCACACGCATACTCGTACAAACAGACGGCAGGATGTCGTGCAATGTAAATTTGCACCCAACACACTCCCCCTCAGCCTGCCGGCTGCATCCCCATCATTCCATGCTAGTTCATGCTCATTCCACTCATGCGCACACAACGCCAATGAGGCTCATCCGCAAGCCTCTTGGTGAGAAAGTCTGCTGGCTGCTGGTGAGTCTTGATGTAGATTGGATTCACCGTCCCCCTCTTCACCTCCTTACGCAGCCAGTGCCACTTGATACGCATGTGCTTGTTCAGGCCATGAAGCACAGCGTTCCTGGCCATCCCAAGAGCCCCCTTGCTATCACAAAACAGCGGCGTAGCAACTTTCTGCTCCTGGCCAATCTCCTCTAACAGCCTCCTCAGCCAAATCACCTCCTTCACCCCATGGAACATCGCCATGTACTCTGATTCTACGGAAGAGAGTGCCGTCTCCGTCTGCTTCTTGGACCTCCAACTAACAGGTCCTCCCCCAACTACGCAGATGTATCCTCCCACAGATGAGGAATCCTCCTTCTCAGAAGCCCACGTAGCATCGGTAAAGCAAGTGAGAAATAGCTTGCCTTCTCCAAGCCTCTCCCCCTTCTCTTTCAGCACCTCCACCCCTTTCTGCTTCACCTGTGCAGATGCGGAGTATTGAACTCCAATGCTTGGGTGAGAGTTCAGGTACTTCACCACACGCTCAGCTGCATCCACCTGCTCCTCTGATGGATTCTGCACCACCCTAGCCAGCTGCCCAACCGAGAAAGAGATGTCGGGCCTCGTGTGAACTGCTGCGTACAAGAGGCTGCCCACCAAGGACTGAAATTGCTGCTGCTCTTCAGCTTCAACCCCTTCATCCTCTGCAGCCTTCACAAGCTTGAATTCTGCTGGCAGGGGAGTTGCAACCTTGCGCTCATTCTCAATCCCATACTTCTCCCCCAGCTCCTTGATGAACTTCTCCTGGTGCAGCTTCAACCATCTGTGATCTGGATCCCTCTCCACGTGCATCCCGAGGTAGTACTTTACCTCCCCAAGGTTCTTGCACTTGAAGTTTTCCATCAGTTGCTGCTGCACTTTCTGGATCTCCTTCATGCTGCTGCTGAAGAGAAGAATGTCGTCCACATAGACCAGAAACAGCACCAGCTTCTCCCCCTCGCCCTTGAGAAAGAGGCTCTCATCACAGCTGCTGGTCCTGAATCCAATCTCCTCTAAAACAGCTGCCAACTTCTGGTACCAGCAGCGTGGCGCCTGCTTCAAGCCGTAGATGGACTTGTTGAGCTTGCACACCCTGCCCGTACCATCCTCATACCCAGGCGGCTGCGTCATGTACACATCCTCCTCTAAAATCCCATTCAGGAATGCCGTTGAAATATCCATCTGAATGATGAATTTCCCACTAACAGCTGCATCTGCCAACAAGACACGAAGGGTAGGGGGTTTGGCAGTGGGAGCAAAGATCTCGTTGAAGTCCTGCTTCTCCTTCTGCATAAACCCCTTCGCCACCAGCCTACTCTTGTAGATGGTGACCTGCCCCTTGTCATCGGTCTTGATCCTCAGCACCCACTTGCATTGTATCGCTTTCTTCCCATCAGGCAGCACCACCAGATCCCATGTCCTATTCTCCAGCAGACTCTGGTACTCAGCATCCCTAGAAGCCAGCCACTTGTCCCTATCTGGTCCAGCTAATGCCTCCTCCATGCTAGCTGGTTCCTCTGGTGCAGGGGCAAGAAAACAGTACGCAGGCTCATCCTCCTCATCCGGGTCATAGCCATGAGGTAGAATCAGCAATGCCTCTTCGGTCCCTAGCTGCTGCTCTGCTGCATCAGTTCCTGCAGTCAGCTTCTTAGTAGCCATACGGGTACGTCCTGGCCTGGAGACGGGTGTCTCCCATCCCTTCATAACGACACCCTTCGGCTTCTTAGTTTTTCCCTGCTGCTTCTCTCCTCCCTCGGGTCCAGCAGCTCCACTAGTGCTGCCGCCAGTTTCCACACCATTTTCTCCACCAGCAGATGCCTCCTGTACCTTCTCTCCATCACCATTTCCAGCAGCTGCCTCCTCTCCCTCCTCCCACACACTAGGAGTCAGGTCCAGCTGCATGGTGATCTGCTCCATCTGCTGGGACACCCTTGCCTCCGGCTGTTTCTCCCAGCTCCCATACATCATGCCCTCAATGAATTTCACATCCCTGCTGTCAAACAACACACCCTTGGATGGTTCCCACAGCAGCCATCCCTTGCTCTCAGCAGCCAGCCCCAAATGCACACACCAGATTGCACTCGCCCCCAACTTACTGCGGTAGGTCTTGGGGACGTGGGCGACTGCCATGCAACCGAACACCCTCAGCATGTCCACCGGCGGCTTCCTCCCAAGCCACCTCTCCAACGGCACCCACGAGTCATCCCCAACCTTGGTGAGCACCCTGTTCCTAGCGACAGTGGCGTGCCGGACAGCATGAGGCCACATAGAATTGCTCAGCCCAGATTCTATGAGCAGCGCCCTAGCTGTCTCCAGAATGGTCCGGTTTGCCCGTTCTGCTACACCATTGGACTGTGGGGTATAAGCCGTGGTCAGCTCTCTCTGGATGCCCTGCTTCTTGAGCCAGGCCGTCATTTCAGCTCCAAGGAACTCACCACCCCGGTCTGTCCTAATCCGCTTCACTACACACTCCGCCTGCTTCTCCACGAATGGCAGCCAATCGTCCCGTATCGTGGAGGCGGCGTGGTCCTTCTGCTTCAGCGGATACGCCCACATCAGCCTGCTCCAGTCATCCACAATTGTAAGAAAATACCGCTCCCCCTTGTGCCCTTGCACCGGCAGTGGCCCCACCAAGTCCATGTGGACCAGCTCCAAAGGCTTCTTGCTCCTGCCAGCCACACTATGGAAAGGGAAACGGGTGAACTTTGAAAGCAAACAGATTTCACAGTTGTCATCAGGTGGCTGTCCGTTCAGCTTCAGACCCTTAACGGCTCCATCCTTCTCCAGCTGCTTCAGCAAAGGCATTGCCACATGCCCTAAGCGCCGGTGTGCCGTTGCCCAATCTGTCTCCCCAGATCTGGCCGACACTTTCACACCAACCCCTCCAACGGCATTGCACTCCCCCTGGGATGCAGACCCCTCTCCAGCCTGCCCCCCACCATGCCACGCCAGGGCCGGCAGCTGCCACATAGATCTGTACACGTCCTTGCTCTCGTGCAGATCCCAAAGCACCCGATTGCCCAGCTTCCCCTTATAAGTGCGTGCCCCATCCGTGTTGGTGTTCACCCCAGCCTTGCCAAGCTTACGGAGGGAGATAAGGTTGGCCTTCAGGTCGGGGACGAAGAGAA